AGAGAGAAAGGAAATAGAGGTAATGGCCCGCGCTCCCGCGCACGAATGCCGCCGCGAGTGAGGTAGAATAACCGTTTTTCACCTTCTCTCTCTCTCTCTCTCGCTCTCTCTCTCTCTCCGCTCTCTTTTCTCTTCCCCTCCCTCGGAGCGAGATTCCCCGGCAAATTTCTTTCGCCGGCCAAGAGTCATTACTCTCCCACTCCGTTTAAAAGTTCGAGTGCCGATTGGCCGGCCTGAGGCCCCGTCCTGCCCGTCCTCTGGAGGGCGCCTGGCGAGGTCTGCCAGCCCGGGCCGTCGGGCCCCTGCGGAGGGCGCGATAGGCAACCCCAACTCTCGCGCGCACGCCTGCAGCCTACCTGCAGGTGCACCGGGGCGCCAGGCGCCAGCACCCACTCTCTGCTCGTTGGGAACAACTTGCAATCCCTCGGGGAATGCAGCTGGGGCGGTGCGGCGGGCGCGCTCGGCTGCACGCGGCTGATGGTGATGCTGCGGTGGAGGCGGCGAGGTACCAACGGCAGGGACCCTCCACGCCATTACCAGAGCGCTCCACGGCGCCGCTGTACCTGTTCCACCCGTACGTCGTTCTCAAAGAAGAATTGTCCTTGGGGAGGAGAGTAAGGATGCGGGGCAGCACGAGTGTGGCCGCCAGGGCGTGCACGCCGGCGTCGGTCCCGCTGCCAGGAGGCCGGCGAGGCAGCCCTGCCGCCAAGGCTTCATCCCCCCCCCCCTCCTCTCGCTGGCGGTGAGAGGCGGCTTTATCGTGCTCCCGCGCGCGCGTGCAACAACAGACATAAAATAATCGCGGGGGACACATTCGCCGCCGCGGCCCCGTATCTGTTTTACAATTTTCTATTCTCGTGTTTGGCTGCGACGTACGCACATTTTATAAAGGCAAAAGGGATGGGGAAGTATATTCCGTGTATGTGTCCCTGTTCGGGAGGGGGGAGAGACGGGCGTATCCAGGCGAAAGGCTTAAAGTCAGATTACAACGCCATGAAAGCTGCAGCACACATTTTTCTTCACAGTCATTCATATTTTTGCGTGCCTTTATTTCTTTCCCTTACACAAGAGGCGAACACAATATAACAATCTCGCGCGGTGGTGCGCCGCCTCGTCAGGAGAGCGCCCAGGAAAGGCTGCAATAAATGATTAAGATAATGGACAATGTTGCGCCATTAGATTCTTATCCGCCTCCCTCACCCCCGCCCTCGCGGCATACAAGGGGGGGTTTCGGTGGGCCGAATGGGGCGGAGAGACCGGGCCCGTGTAAATCACTTGCCGAGCCCCTCGGACGCCCCGGGGGAGGGGGGAAGGGGGGGG